CACAGGTCCTTATGACTAAGAGTTGGACATCTTTGGGAGCCCATTATTCAACCTACCAGAAAGACTAATTGCAAATGAATGAAAAGTCTATAGGTTATTTATTTGGTAGGGTGAGCATAACAATGGTATTACTTATGGGGCAATAAGAACTAGAGGGTGCCCCTGACACATGAGCCCTTGTGCTATGGTAGGGAAAAGACATCGTAGGAAAAGTAGTGGAAAGGTGATATGTATTTAGTGGGGTTGTGGGGAGGGGAGCAGAGGGGCCATCGGCAATGGCCTTGGTTGCTTGAGGTAGACACCACAGGTTAGAATAGGTGGGGACCACTAGATGGGTACTGGAAATATCAGGGGGAACACTGTGTAAAGTACATGATTGTCTAACCACTATGCTCTACACCTGAAACTAATACAAAATAATATTGACTGCAATTGAAATTTTTTTTTTAAAGAACAGAGAGAATGTATGAGGAGAGCAGAGCTAGATGGTTCCTGAATGAGGTGGAGTCTGAGTGCCACATGGGAGAGTTTAGCTTTAATTTGCAGCAATGCAAATTAATACTGATATAATATTGATATAAAATTGGTTTACACTTTATGCTCAACTTGACTATGACTCAGAGAATCAAAATTAGAAGCAGGCTTAAAAAATGAACAGAAAAACTAATGGACAGTAAGAAAGGTTTGGGGAATTTTCGTAAAGGAATACACTAGAAATTTCGAGAGAATCACTGTATATGTTGTCTAAGAGACTGGAAATGGTATGTTGGGGGTGGGGTAGGCTTCCCCCAGTGCCCCCAAATGAAATGTCCAAACAAGGGATATGGGGGAAGTCATCCTTACCATGGCTCTGTAAGAAGGGTTATGCTCCTTCACCTTCTGCCATTTAGGAATGTCTTCTTTGATAAGAGAACCTAACTTTCCTAGACTATTGTTAAAGGTGCCAAGGACTCATGAAGTCTTGAACCCATTACACTTTTATTATGGGCTGCAGAAACTTTGGTAAAGGTTAATTAGTGCTTATTTATCCTTAAGTGGTGCTTTTACATCTCCTTTATCACCACCAATATTCGTTACTTATTGATCCTTTTTTATTTTTTTCTTATGCTATATAACTCAGTTCCAAGAAAGGACAGGTCTGTAGTGGGGATCAGATGACGGCCTGTGTTTATTCAGGCAGGCTGAGGCAATCCTTTTGCAATGGAAGAGGCATTTTTTTTCTTAGATGCAAGATTTAGGGAATTATGGAAATGTTGGGATTAAAACTAAAGCATATTTGAGGTCCTTTTCTTTCACCACCTCAGTAATGATAAAAATGTTTTGAAACTGATATTCTCCAATCTTTCAGGCTTTTAATGGAAGGAATGCCAGGAACAAAGCTGTTTTCCTTAATTTTGTTGTTCAATCAGGTTGCTTATAACCCACGAAGCTGTCATATTATCATCTTTAGAGCTTGCAGGATTGCCTGCTTATTCTGCAAGGCAGCTGGTTAGGGCAGGCTTGGCCAGACATGCACTGTGTTCTCTATCTTCTTGAACCTCACCTTTCCTGAGTGTTTGGATTCCACCAGCTTGTGCCTGGCCTGGATATTCTCTGGCTGCCTATGTGATGGGCCTCCCCGGATGAGGCCTCCTAAGCCAGGCCAGAGAGCGTGGCAACTCTCCTGTCAGTTCTCGCTCTCCTTTCACTGACATTCAGGGCATCGTTAGAGTTGGAATGCCACTTCCATCTACTTCCCCATCTTTTCTCCAACATTTTCTTCGTCTTTGTCACTGGTTTCTATCCTAGCATGTTTTAATAGAAGGCTCTCTGTAGCTGTTACACCTTAGGATTTCTTTCTGTGCTATCATTTCAGGAGAAGGTTGTATTTCTTGCTTCTGAAAACAGTAGGGATAATGTGAACTAATACCCTGGTGGAAGGCCTAAATAATACATTTCACTATTTGGGCCTTACATTTGTTTTTTCATTAAAAGCCAACAGTTCCGAAAGGCCTTTAATGGAACAATTCAGCAATTTTCACCTCCTCTCTACCACCTTCAACTTTTGCAGCTGTTTCTTCTGATATCTACCTCACTGTTTCTAAATAACATTCTCATATTGCTGTTAGGAATTTCCAGACTTTCCCCTGTGTTGGAGGAGTAGTTAATGTCCTTGGATAGCCTCGGTGCCAACTGCATTTTCCTTCTCTCCCCTGTCCCACTTTTATTTTGGAAATGTTTTCTGGTGCTTGTCAAGCTCATCCCAAGTAAGCAGTAAGTCAGGCTTCCTGAGTCATTTGAGTCTATTCTCAGTGGTTCATATCAGAACATTTCTTGAATGCTAGCTGTGCCAATAAGTGAGCAAACTACATCAAAAGACTCTTTCTGAGTAGATGTACCTAATGCAATAAGTAAGAGTGGGCTGAAAAATCACGGTACACTTAAAAGAAGAATCTAGGAGGAGCTTATTGCTAAGGTCTTCCTAGCTCATTCAGGTTGTCTCAAACATAAGTGGAAATTGGGGCTGTGAATAAGCTTAGGACTTCTTACAAGTCTGTGGCAGTCTTATCTGCCCTTTTCTAGAAAACACATAAGGGGCCGGGCACTTGCAAATTGGAAGCTCATGCCCTCTGTCACCTCACTTCAGTGATACTTAATCTAGGCATAATTAATCAACCAGAGAGGATAGGAAAGAGATGC